GAGCCGAACATGTCCATCTTGCGCAGGAAATTAACAGCCTTCCAGAGTGCAGGCAGTTTGCGGTTTGGCTCATGCAGTGTCGCAAGGAGTGACAGCAGCATCTGCGTTATGGAGTTCTGCACTTCGGACAGAACTGAGGTGACGATAAGCGGGGGTATAGAAGCCCCGAGGGAGAGCGACTTGGCATGCGACGCAAGAGAGAGTGCCTCGGCGAAATAGCCATTCCGCACGCAAGTATCAATCAGCATTGGGATTTCTAGCAGGTCGCGGATTTTGTCGTGCTGCTCAAGAACAACGCGTGCTTTTCTGCGGTCCATCAGGACCTTCTCGGTGCGTTCGCGCCATCCAGAAGCACTGTCCTCGAGGGCGGGGAGACTCGTCGTGAGTAGGTTGTCGAGTGAAGACTCGAGAGACGCGAGGGATGACGACAACGAGCTCGTGGTCTGGTGAAGGGACAGAAATGTAGGGTATGAGGTATGGGTTAGAGAGGTGAGACTGGACGTCAAGTGGTGGGACTGCGTCTGCAAAACGGCGGGCTCCGCCACGAGTGTTGGCAACGGCAAAGACGTGAGATGAGTGAGGTACGCGCGCGACCCAACACTGGAGTTCTCTGGCAGTAATATTTCCGCCAGACTGGCGTCGCTGAGTCCATTTGCCTGCGACGCCGCCATCGTGGCGGCTTTAGAGTAGCAATGTTACATAACACGATCGCGCTGTTGGCTTTCGCCTTCAGAACTCAACACAAGTGATAACGCGCTTTGACCGAATGGATTCTGCGAGGGCAATCACATCTTCATAAATACATCTATCGATCTACCTAGCTATCTACGACGCTACGACGACGGGGGGACGGGACGCTGGGGAATCGAGTTGGAGGCGGCACGAAATTGGACGAGTCTTCGCGGATAGCAGTAGTGGACTAGTGACGCTGTGGTATGTAGCAGTGCGCGGCGCAGATGATGGTGCGAAGATGCGACACTGGGATGCGTTGACGGCAAGGTGATCAGGTTGGCATGCGTCGAGTCTTCGCGATCCTGCGGGTGACAGTGTGGTCGCAGAATATCGTTTGCGTGCGGAGCGCTGATTCGAAGGAGGTTTGGTGCGCGGCGAGACAGGCGGCGTGTGTGGGAGTATGATTTCCAATGATGTTTTCGACCAGCAGTTGGGCATAGCTGGATGCTACGATCACAATGAGGCGTGCGGTACGGCAGATTTGAGGTGGCCGTTGTGGGAGTTTCTGCGCGACGAGACCGGCGGGATGTGCGGCCATGAGAAGAGTGAGGATGAAATGTCGCGCGGGCCAGGAATGCGAAGTCGTGTTGACTGGTCGCGAATGATGGTACACTCTCGAAAATGCTTGAGCAAAACTAGTTGGCCTGTGAGGGTTGCATGTGTGCTGGCCGGGAATCCCGAAGCGCGAATGTTGATATTCAAAGGATCTGCGCCGCCCGTTGAAGATAGTGCCGCCAAGGCATGGAACAAAAGTGAGATAGGACCGGATCGCGTGAGCAAGCGAATGTAGCCACTGAAGACTTGATTGAATATGAGAAACGAGATAAACGCGGGGAAAGAAGGTCGTACCAAAATCCCATTCGAGCCAATCCGCGAGTTAAGAATGCGAGAAATGCCAGACGGTTTGAGAGTTGCCCAAGATATGAAAGCGCGAGTCCGTTCCCTGCCGTGCGTCTTGTCCAGTGATTGGTGTCCTGTCCGCGTCCCGTCCCTTGTCGTGTCGTCTACCTATCTGTCATCTACCTACTTTGTATCTACACCGAAGCACGAGACCCGAAACCGAAACCCGAGACCCGAAACCCAGAACAACGTATCGTGCCGCGCAAGAAGAGAATCCGATGGAGCCGGTCCAAAAGCGTGTTTGGTGGTACATGTAAACGTGTCGAGAAGAGACGCGGCGGGCCGCGAAAGAATTGCCGATGGCCGTAGATGCACACCTTTGCCTTGAGATTGAGATAAGTGTGTCGAGAGAAGAACAAAGCGGCGATGGTTGAAGCAGAGCCTGGCAGTGTATAGTTGACACTGGCTTGGTCGGCGAATGAGTCTTTGCGAGCGCCTGAGTGTTTGGAATGAAGGTCTCATCGTCGGCGGCGTTGACGTCGTGGGTAGGGGGCACTGATGACTGGAGTTCCACAGTGGGCTGACGTTTGAGACTTGCGGCGGTGGAGATAACCAACAGACGAGCTAGCGAATACAGATTCAAAAAAAATTCCAACAACGAGAGAAGAGTGCTCACCAAGAATGACGGAGCAAAAGTATTCAACATGTGAAGGACACCTTGACCATTGCTTGGCACACATAAACTGATCGTTTGAAATGACCGACAGACGAGCTAGCGAATAGTACAGATTAGAACAAACTCCAGCAACGAGATAAGGGTGCTCACCGGGAATGGCGAGGCAGGAGTGGGGAGAACACCTTGACCGTTGCTTGGCACACTCAGACTGGTCGTTGGAACCGCCGACGGGCGCGTTGATGGTGACGCAATTTGCTTGAAATCTGCGCCGCCGGGTCGTATGATATGTGTGTAGCCGCCACATCGCCTCGTGTTGCCCATGGCTCGCTAGCCTGATCTGGAGACGCCGACGACGCGTTGATGATGTGGTCTGCAGAGTCTGCGCCGCCGATCGTCGGATGGTGTGTGTGTCGGACCGCCTCGTCGTCTGCTGCTTAGTAGCGGTGTTTGCTTGCTCCCGTTCGCTGTTGATTGATATGCATGCAACCGTTCCGTGCCCAAAGTTGGTAGTGTGGAAAGATATTCACGAGAGCGTTGATCAGACGGTCCCTGGCTTTGGTGGTTTCGGCGCGGGTGGGATGCGAGCGGTAGGAGAGCAAGCTGCTGTGGGGAAGTTAGAACAGCGAAAGCGAGGAGGAAAAAAAGACCGTACCGAGACGACGAGGCGGGGAGCTATTTACATGGCAACTTCAGCCCTGCCCTCCTCACCCCATTGTGCCCATACCATCCTTCATCCTTCCACCGGTCGAGTGAATGTGTGTGTGCGACGTCAAGGTGGCCAGCCCTGACGCAAACCTGTAAAAAAAAGAGAGATCGGTCAGTGGGCGGCCCCGCCCCCTCCAGGCCCCCCGCGAGGCGCTGCAGCACCAACACGGCCCCCGCTCCAATTTATCCTCCCTCCCACTTTACACGGCAACGCTGAGCTCCCCTCCTGCGATTGAACATGAAAAAGTGATGGGGAAACGAGATGAGGAAAGACGTACATGCGCGCTAGCTTCCCTTACAGTCAGCCCGTCGTCCTGTCGAGGTCTTCTTGTCGTCCCGTCGAGGTCTTGAGGCGTCGTCCAGTCGAGGTCTTGAGGTCTAAACAGGTCCAGGGTCTTGAGGTCTGAAACATCTCCCCGCACAGGTTAGCCCACATCACGAGGGACAGATGGTCAGTGAGCCGAAACAAGCGAGAAATAATGGCACGCACCTGTTCGATTCCAGCAGAGAAAATGGGGGAGGAGAGGGAAAGGGCGGGGTGGTAGAAAGATAGGAACGACGGTGGGAAAGAGCAAGAAAAAGGGAAGAATGAAGGTAAGGAAAGATGCAGAAGGAGAATATAAAGTAAGGAGAAGGTCTAAGAACTATGGAAAGCGAGAGGGGAGGGAGGAAGGAGGAACGGAAGGCGATTGAGGGAGGGGGAGAGGGAGGTGGAGGGTAGAGGGCGTCGAAGGCAAAAGGTCTTGAAGCCAGAGGAAAGGGAGGAGGGAGAGCGCCAGATGGTGGTAGGAGACAAGAGTGAAGAAAGAGGCTGACATCGATGGGCCGCGGAACCATCACCCAGAATTGGAACTCCGCTTGAAATCCGCTGACAGCCTGAGGTCACGTTACCGCGATCTTCCGGCGACGCGACGCGAATATTTCTGGACCATGCTTGGTTTACGGGGCACATAAACAGAGGATGCGCCTGAGAGCTTGCTCACTCGGGTTGTGAAATTGGTGCTGCGACCCGGGAGGCTGGTGATCCCAAGCGCTCATGAACGCTTAGTACACGCATATGTAAGTACATGTACTAGAACAGTGGAACAACACAAAGCCTCTAGATTATGATCGTGGTAGGCCGGCAGTAGCCCCGGGGCTCCGACGCTGTAGCTGGACCCCCGTTGGGCAGCATGCTCTGAAAATGCCCTGGTTCGTGTTTAGTGTTTGCCACTGTTCCCTATGCTTGCTTTTGCGGCTTGTGAGCTACGCTGCGAAGGTGCCTGCAAAATCTGGTCCATAAAGGGTGGGGAAGCTGGGCCGGAGGTCTCAGAAGCTGCCTGACACAAGGAAGGACGAGCATGGTTCCCTAATTCAGTGGTTAGCTCCTCCAGTTGGCCCCATTGAAAAGGGAATTCCCGCAACGTTCACGAAAAAACAGATGGCTGGCGGGCGCAGCAGCTGACCTTTGCCTGAGCGGGCTGAGTGGGAGGCAAAGGCTCCGATCAGATCCTCACGAATCTGATCCTTCACCTCTCTGCTTGCGCGACGTCCACGCACTCGCAGAAAGTCATTCCCTCGTCCTCCTCTCGCTCATTGACGCGTTTTTTCCCGCCCTCCTCCCATTTCCCTTTCCTATTTCGCTCGCGCTTGGGTTGCTTTTGGTCCCCCTTCCGGTCCTTCCGCGGCCCAGGCGCGCAGGTTCGGCCGTTGCCGCGTTCCCTTCCCCCGAACCGGACTTTGCGGCACGTTCGCGCTGCCCGCAAAGTCGAGTCGGCCGGAACGGCCGAGCCTACCCACACAACACCCTCCGTTTCTTCCTCCTCCTCATCCTCTCTCACGAGCCGAACGAGGAGCGGCCTACCTTGCCTCGAATCCGGCCTGTCTCGAAACCTAACTGTGTGGATAGACAGTATTCATAGACAGATGACGGTCAACCGGTCTAACCCCCGCCCAAAAAAAAAACATGTTGAGAGTTCCAAAGGTGCTGGAAGCAGATGCTTCACTGCTGAGGGCTTCATTTTCAGTAGGTTTCAGTGGAGCCGGCACTGCGTGGCGCACGAAAAAATGATCTCCGCCCGGATTGAACGGACGACCTTCTGGACGCTCCAACTACGCTGGAATCAGAAATTCTACCACTGAACTAGGAGATCTGTGTGTGCAGACCTGCAACCAATATATGTAGCATTTCGCGACGTGGGAGTCTCACATGTTACGCCTTGCAAGAAGCTCACAAGCTGAGAAAGCAAGCACAGTTATGCGGATTCAAAGCCGCTCCCAAGGAAACAAAGGCCAAAAGTGATGTCTACTAAGTCACTTGCAGATTAATTCCCGTGGAGGTGCGGACGGCGGCGCAGCGAACGAACCATACTCGAGTCACACTCTCCCACGGTTCAACTTTGGTTCAACTCCCCCTTTTCGGCCGTTACCTTTTTATGCAGGTATGCTCATGTATACGAAAGAATGGGAGCACTTTTGAGATGCAGGCCTAGCGAAAGACGCTCGACTTACGCTTCCAACCATGTCCAAAGTTCTCTACCAAGTTGCGGATCGGTGGTATCTTTCCTCGAGTGTGAGACACAAAAGCGACAGTGGAACATGAATCCAGTGACCTTGCCGTTGAAATCCACTCCTTCGAGGCTAGTCCCAGAAAAAAGTTGAGGGAGAGCTCCCCATGGCGAAGGATATATTTGCAAAATTCTTTGCGTAACGGGTTGAGGCATCCTGACGAGACGAAACCAAACAAGCACCCACCAAGAGGAGGTAATCAATACCGAAATAGACATTTCGCGACAACTCCATGTCTTTGAGATTGCCTTCAAACACGATAAGACCTTTGATCTATGCTGCGGAGAGGAAACATATACCTCGATTCACCGCAGTTGACACGATACCCTTGCCACCGTACCGTCTCGCTAGCTCATTCGAGAACGTGATGTTTGCCTTGTAAAGCGGTCGGAAGACTCGGAACAGCACGAACCCACCTACTAGAACAACTCACTCATTTGCTTTGCCCGTAAAGTTGCAACCGGCTCAGTTTTCGTCGCGCCGGCCCGTCCTTGAATGTGTTGAAATTATACATAGCAAGGTAGTGAATGCTTGACGAGGTGTTGACCACGCGGGACGGCTCGCAGGTCATTTCAGCCGTCCGCATGAGAATAGGAAGTAGCCTAGGAGCTTTGTGAGATGGAAATGGCCTGACTGCTATAAGTCAGGATTCAACAGCACAAGGCAAATGTTAACCAAGCACATTGGTGCCGAAGGAGAGGTCGTATCCGCTTGCAGTCGCGGCTTCAACCGGCGGCATCATGATACCACTATCGTGTGTCGACCAGCAAGTCAGTAATGGAAAAGGAGTGAGCTTACGCGTTGTTGAAGAGGATGTCGAGCCGCGTCTCTTGCCTGTGGAAACCCGTTAGCAACGGTCGCACGTTCATAATTGACCAGAAGTTGTGCTGAAGAAAGAGTTCCGTTGCTTTCTGGATTGATTGAAAGTCCTCCAAGTCGAGAATCAACGAAGGGGCCGTTTTTCCAGTCGATACTTGCAGATCTTGGATGGCAGCTTCTATCTTCGCTTCATTCCTGGCTGCGATATAAACTTTTGCGTTGTTTTCGAGAAGAGCCTGGTGTTGTTAAAACAGACAATTATCAGAGATAGTGGCGCAACACTGGCAGATATGGTAAGCTCACCTTTGCTGTTTCCTTACCGAGTCCAGCGTCGCCGCCCGGAACAATTGCGACTTTACCGGTCAAGTCTGGCATGTCACTGGTTTGCCAGACCGGTTTTCCGGAAAAGTACTAGGCTTGCTTGACGAAGTAGTAAAGGTCCCATAGCGAGACCATAGCTGTACCAGAAGCGGGATTTGAAGCGGATGTGGGCGCTCATGGGGCCCGGGAGATAAAAGGCTTGTCAGCTGGTTTTGAAGCTTCCGGAAGGCGCGGGCGGAGTGTCTCAGAGTGACAGTCTCAGTAAAAGATGATAGGCCGCCATGGAGGCCGTCGCGGACTCGTGGCGGCCTTACGATATGGCAATGTTACGTAACACCGAACACGATCGCGTTCAAGTTGGTTGCTTTCGCCTTTAGATCTCAATACAAGCGCTTTGACCGAATATCGAGTCGGAGCAATGCAAGATTCTGCGTATTTATCTACTAGGGGTCCGCTGAGGCGCGGGGTGCTCGCGAAGCCGCCACACAGCGGCTTTTTCCGAGCACAGCCACATTACGAAGTGTGATTACGAACACCCGTCGCCTCAAACACAATCAATCCCTGCCCGCCGGTCATGTATCTGGTACCGTTTGAACCGCCTATGAAAACGGCGGTGATCGGAATGTTTTCAAGGCAAATTGACCCAGAATTAAACGTTTTTGAGAGCATTCTTTCCGGGAGGGTCTGTCAGCCACAGCAAACCTTGCGTGTCTTGTTTGTCGCGATTTCTAGCCCTGTACCTCATCACGTGCCCTTTAAGTAGAATTGCTTCGCTTCGCTCGCAATAAGAATACGACAGGTGTGGGGACGGGATGCGGGCGAGGGACCGAAGGGCATGCGGCTGGTAGCTGTACAGTACATGTGGTCGCGATGCCTCAGATGACGGTGCGAGGAAGATGCGCCACAGGCGATATGTGGTATGAAGGTAATCAAATTGTTCTGGCAGGCTGCGACAGTCTTCGTGAGTCTTCGTCAGTCTTCGCGATCCTGCGAGTGACGGAATGGTAGCAGAATATCGCGGGCGTGCGGAGCGCTGAAATTCGAAGAAACAATCCATGCGGCGCTGGGTGGGGCGAGATGCGGGACCCTGAGTTAAAGCTACTTCCCACTGGATATGGCTGCGGCTGCCATGATGGCGATGAGGTATGTGGTAGATTTGCAGTGAACGTTTGGGTTTTGTGCGCAGCCAGACAGGCAGCGTGTGTAAGAGGGTAGTTTCCAGGAATGTTCTCGACCAGTAGATGGACATGGCTGGGTGCAACGATGGTGAAGGAGTGTGCGGTACGGTAGATCTTCGGCGACCGTTTTGGGAGTTTGTGCACGACGAGACAGATGGCATGTGCGGCCATGGAAAAAATGGTTGTCTCCAAGGACAGGTTGTCGTGCGGGCCAAGAAGATAAGTCATGTTGACGGGTCGCGAATGATGGTCGAGCACTCGAGACCTCTTGGGAGGCAAGAGTGCAAAGATAGATCGCCTGCGTAGAGGTTGCATGTGTGCGCTGGCCGGTAGGAAGACGCGAGTGTTATGAAAGGATCTGCGCTGCCCGTTGAAGATAGTGGGACATCGTGCCGCTGCGCCAAGATGTCGGGCACATGGACGAGCGAATGCAGCAGCGAAAGGCTTAGATAGACATGAGAACAGGATGAACACGCGGGGTTGAAAGACCGTACCGAAAAGATAGTCCGAGCGAACCCCAGAAAAATCGAAATGCTAGAGAGTCGCCCGAGAAATGAAAGAGCGAGTCCTTCTGCCGAAAGTCGTCCTGTCCGTCTTGTCCTGGGATTGGGCGTCCCGTCCCTCGTCGTGTCATCTACCTACGTTCTAGCTACACCGAAGCACGAGACCCGAAACCGAAACCGAAACCCGGAACCCGGAACCCGGAACCCAGAAGGACGTATCGTGTAGCACAAGAAGAGAGTCCGATGAATCCATCCAGAAGCGTGTTTGGCGCGGTAGACATGTAGAGAGGAGACGGGGCGGGCCGCGAAAGTCTTGCGAGACATGCGCGAAGATGCGCGGAGATGCGGCGCGTTGCCTTGATATTGAAATTGATATCGAGAGCGGTGAACGTAGTATGCGACGGCAAAGTTGAAGCAAGAACAGTGCACAGTTATCACTGACTGGGTCACGAATGTTGTGAGCGCCATATTGTTCAGCAGGAACGGCGTCGGCAACGTTGAGGTCGTTGATAGGGCCATGTACGATGATAACTGAAGGCTGCACAGTGTTGAAGTGTTGCAGCGGTGGAAATGAGCGACCAACGAGCTGGCGATTTACAGATTAAAACAAGATTGAACAACAAGATAAGGGGGCTCACCGGTAATGCCGAGGCAGATGTAACGAGCAAGGAGGTACGCGCGCAGTCGCGTGTTCGCATGGATGGTACATGTTTGAATGCTGATGGCGGGCCAATAATGGTGTGGTGTAGTGAAGAATCTGCACCAGTGGCGTGTGTAAATGCCCCGTTGCCTCCTGTTGCGCATGGGTCGCTCGCTCGTCGGGCGGCGCGTTGATGATGATGATAAGAATGAAAACCCTGCGCCGGTCGCCGGACATTGTGTGTGTGTGTAGCTGCCCCATCGCCTAATGTTGCTTATGGGCCTGGCCTCGAGACGCCGTGATGATGTGGTTTGGTTGAGTGTGCGCCGCCTGTTGTCGAATGGTGGGTGTGTTTGACCGCCTCGGCGTCTGCTTAGTGGTGTTCGATTGCTCCTGTTCCCCGTTAATTGCATTGAGGCCGTTCCAAGCCCAAGGATGATATCGTGAAAAGTTGATCATGGAAGCGCTTGTTATACGGTCCTTGGGCTTTGAGAGTTTCGACGCGGGTACGATGCGAGCGGTAGAGAAGCAAGATGCTGTGGGCGAGTTAGAACCACAAGCGAAAGGAAACCAGACAAAACTAACCGAGACGACGAGGATTACATGGCAACTTCAGCCCAGCCCTCCTCACCACATTGTGTCCATACCATCCTTCCACCGGTCGAATGAATATGTGTGTGCGACGTCAGAGTGGCCAGCCCTAACGCAAACCTGTAAAAAAAAGGAGTTCGGTTACCGGTGGGCGTCCCCGCCCCCTCCAGGCCCCCCGCGAGGCGCTGCAGCACCAACACGGCCCCCGCTCTAATTTAGCCTCCCTCCGACTTTACACGGCAACGCTGAGCTCCCCTCCTGCGATGGAACGTGAGAGGGTGATGGGGAAACGAGATGAGAAAAGACGTACATGCGCGCTAGCTTCCCTTACAGTCAGCCCGTCGTCCTGTCGAGGTCTTCTTGTCGTCCCGTCGAGGTCTTGAGGCGTCGTCCAGTCGAGGTCTTGAGGTCTAAACAGGTCCAGGGTCTTGAGGTCTGAAACATCTCCCCGCACAGGTTAGCCCACATCACGAGGGACAGGTGGTTAGTGGGTCAAAACGAGCGAGAAATAATGGCACGCAGCGTTTCAAGTC